TGGTGGTTAAGAAAGAAGCTCATTCAGGTCTTGGAGGTCTGGATTTGGCTTTGAACACTCTTTTGCTTCAGGGCACTTTTCAGGAAAACAGTTATAGTTTTTCATTTTCTTTCCCAGACTCTGGGTTGTAAAACAAAAATTCCAGTAAAACCATGACTTCAGAAGCAGAATCTGTGAGAAATGGAACGTGAGCTTTTAGGGCTTGCAGGAAAGACTGTTCTTTTTCAGGCAGCCCCTCTTTTCAGTCCTCTTTCTTCTCAGGACCAAGCTGGGTCCTGGCAGCCCAGAGAGGGGCAGAGGGTCTCTGGTGGCCCCATGAAGGATCCTCCTCTGGCCCCTCCTGGGAAGCAGAGTTGTACCTGCTGGAAAACCCCTGGCTTAGCTGCTCCCCTCCTGCTGCCACCTGCATGGAGCCAGATCATTCCTCCCCCCTCCTCTTGCTTTTGATGGGGAGCAAACTACACACTTTGCCATGAAAGCAGGGGCTGCAACACCTTCACATTCTGGCTAGGCTAAGTGAATCCTGGAGTAAAGCCAGTGGGCAGAGCAGAGCTGGTGCCAAGCCACGGTGGGTAGGGTGCCAGCTGAGCCCTGCTCCCAGCTCCCCCCATCCCACCCAGCTGATGGGGGGCCCTGTGTCCCCATCCCTCGGGCAGTGTGGAGCAGCAGGACCACCAGGGAGTCCCAAACCTTCCTCACAGCTCAGCAGGGTGTTGGAATCCCTCACCCCGGGGACATGTCAGGGAAGGGTGGGGCCATTTTCAAGGCAAACCTGGGAGCAAAGGTCAGCCTGATAAGCCCCAAAACTGAAAGACTCATTAATGGGGGGAAAAGGCCACTAGTGGCAAAGCCCAAAGGCATCTCCAGGCTGCCTCCTGGAACCGCAGCAGCTCCGCAGCCCCACCAGCCCCGCGTGTGACAGAGGTGCCCACCGAGGTCCCCACAGTGGCCATGGGCTCCTCTAAGCCAGCTGCCCGGGTGTGTGGCACCGGTGAGGAGCGTGGCCGGGTAACCTTGACCTCCAGGGTCTGGCCGTGTGCCTGGGAACCCGTCCCTTCCATTGGCTGCTCCACCTGGCACCGCCGCGCTGTTTGCCTGGTGGGGAAAGTTCAGCTCCTGGAGACAGCGGAGCGGCCGGGTCCTGAACTCT